ACTGCACGCACACAAACACACACACACATACACATACACATATACACACAGACACGATCTCTCAAAGGGAGGTGTATACAGGTTCGAAATCAGCCGGAGAGCCCTTTTTCTTCTCGAATGTTCAGGCCTGTGGACAGAATAAAATATTGTTTAAAATAAACATAGCATCTACTTCAAATATGGGTATTCACTAAAAATAACATTTGAAGAAACATATATATATATATATATATATATATATATATATATGCATGTTTCATTAAAAACGACAGACAAGGTACTACGGTTAAGCTTTTTATTTAATTTTCCTTGTGTTCTAACAAGAGATTTCTTTTTCTGGACAAAGGGTGTGTAAGAACTGTCCAAATGTTTTATAGTTCCGAGCGCTTTCGGCTACACCTTTAGCCATTATCAAGGATGATTCAATTTTTCAGCTTAATTGAGTGTGTGCATTATATGTATGTTTTAGTGTGTTGTAGGGATGTTTTTAATTCCCGAATACGGTTAGCACATTGTGGCCTTGTTCGTAATTAATATTGTTAAGAGTTGGACTTTTCTTCTTTATTATTAAAGCTTCCATTATTTTTAATCTTTTTTATAAAGGTATAGCCGAAACAATTCTGCTTGTAAGCAAGCCGTATGTAAAACGTCACTTCCTTTTTTTCCATTGTTTTGAGAAAAAAATATGCATAAAGTAAAAAGGTGACGGAGTGAAACAACAGTTTGGTGAAGGATGGATGGGTCTGTTGAATGCTGGCTAGTCTGGGAGGATTCCTTGCCGATAACAACGGTCAAAAGTTTAGGCACATCATCTCACAAGCGTCCTAAGAGTTGGAGAGGAAAGGTGGGAATAGGAGAGAGTAATACAATGAAAGACGTAGGAGGGATAAACTCTAGCGATAGTTTGAGTAGTAATTGGGAATGTTATTTATTGGTTTACTATAAAGAAAACCAACGTAAAGCTGAATTGCATATATTTAGGTTGGAGTTATCACTAGTAATTCTGTAATCAATGAAAGTGTTTTGTAAATTAACAAATTTAGAAGTGGTGATTTCTTCTTAGTATGCTGAATATATAAGTTATTCGGGTTTAAGAAAAAAAACAGTTTTGATTCTGAAATTAAATATAAGTAAAAAAATATATAAAAAAGTATGGGATATCAATATAACTTTTATAATCTAATTTTGACCCATTCTCGAACAGTAGAAAATTTGGAGTCTCTATATTTCTGAGATGAGGTATTATGTACATTATTTAGATTATTCGGACTATTGTCCTCATCTTTGTCGCCATATTTATCATAACGTTTCGGCTGTTGTACGCTCCGGCCTTCTTTAGGTGGTTGGAATGTCCAAGAATGAAGAAGGCCGGAGTGTACAACGGCCGAAACGTTGTGATAAATATGGCGACAAAGATGAGGACAATAGTCCGAATAATGAAAATAAAGTAGAAAATTTATCTGAAAGTATATATATATATATATATATATATATTGAGAATCATAATCTAAGATAAATTGGTTGAGAGGTACATAAGAGGGTATATCAAAGAAGTGGACGTTTAGAGTTATGGAATTAATAATTTAGCAAGATTGTAATGTTAGAAAAAGAAAGTGACGTTTTACATACGGCTTGCTTGCAAGCAGAATTGTTCATAACCATTTTTGGTTCTCACCAGAAGAGGTGCAATTGAAATACATCGAAACGAAGTTGCATCTTTGTAGTGAGTAAACTGTTTTTGTCTATATGATAGAATTATGATAAATAATTATCGCTCCACTACCGGCATCGAGCCCTCTTTTGAATTAATGCTGTGAACGTTAGAATTTATATATTATTTTCGTGGTCATTGCATCCTATATATATATATATATATATATATATATATATATATATATAAGTACCTAGGCTAAGTCAACTTGTTGAATCAACGATCCGAGATTATGTCAAAATGTAGACATACTAAAAAATAGATTTTAGCTTGGATGAGAGAAAAATATTTTTTTCTTTATCTACTTCCGGTTATTCCAGCTCTTACCTCATCTCTTCCTGTCTGATATTTCTAATTTTTGTATGCTTGGTCACTTAATATAAGCGAACTTAATTAGTGCTACGGATTAACTATTTACTAGTAATTATCCTGACGAGACCGTAAGGTCAAAACCTGAATAGTGCATTACGCGTGAATGTCTTCTAATTTTTTTATAAATTTACACACACACACATATATATATATATATATATATACATGGTAAGGTATGAATTAAGTCTACCGTAGAAACTAACGGTAACCTCCTTCCAATTCCGTCAGGAATAGGAAAGGGACATTATTGGGATTTTCCCAATTATATTGGTAACAAAAAATATTGTGACGCCGGCAAGAAGAAAGGAACACAAACATAGTTGAAAAATGTATGAAAAAACATGTATTTGTAGGAAAACAGAAGTAAAGTTTCAAATTGCAAACAGTCGGTTTGCGGGACTTATCTGCAAAATGCGTCCTTATAACAGTTTTATCTTTCCTGTTTGGCTTGGTTGAAGAAAATAGAGTCCTGACTCCTGTGCTTCAGTTGCTGTCGAAGTCCTCACACGTGTCCTGATGTTTAAATGACGGAGTGCAGATGGGGAACGTGTTGTCTCTGAGGTTCCCAATAAGCAAAAGAGGAAGAGCGTTTGTAAAAACCGCTCACATGGGGATTTGGTGAAAGTCTAAAAAGGTAGCTTGTGATTGGTTGTTTTTTCATCCAATCACAGGGCACCCAGTTAGCGACTCCGTAATAATTTCAATATTCTCCCCCAAAACAAAATTGCAATATGAAATCATTGCAACATAATTTTTCACACAGTTGCAGGTTGTTTATTTTTTTTTAAGGCAAAAATAGCCAAAGATGAAAGTTCACAGAAAAGTTTTTTTTTTTTTTAAATGTTCAAATTAGGATGTAGAAAGCGTTGAGATTTGTTTTCACAAAGAACTCCAAACTTTGAAAGAAGTGAGTGTTGTATTTTATTTTGTATGTAAAGAAATTCTCACGCCCAAGCGGTCATCAATCACGTCTAAGTTTCGCCTAAAGCCAAGATAGTGAGACATTATTATGAATCTAAGTCATCATATTGACTAAATGGTCTGTAGTAAGGAAATCACTCGATCTGGCCACCATCGGCGGCTATCCCTTTCTTCAGGCTGTACCAGAACCTGGAGCAGGCCTTGGCAATACCTTTTCTGTCCATGTTGGTCATAGCGTCCCTGATGGCGGCCTTGAGAGCTTCCTAGGTGGTGTAGGGCCTGCAGTTCCGTCTTCAAGACGCTCCACACAAAATAGTTAAAAGGATTGCAGTTTGGCGATAAGGGGTACCATAATTCGAGCGACCGGTGGTACGGTGAGCAAGTGGTACCCCTTGAGCACATGTCCTCGTTGACAATACGTTAGATTGTTCGCCTACCGGAACCCATTTCCTTCACGATTTTCCTCGTGCTTTTGGTGGGGTTCTCCTTGACAACCTCGGCGACAAACCCCTGAGTCCGAATGGCGCCATAGAATTCTAGTCTGAAATTGTCCTTGCCGTCTAAATCCCTATATGCCTTTGCAAGGTTGTAGACCCTAGTTTTCTGGTATTTAAGCCATTCAATGATTTCCTTGGCTTTGTGGCAGGCTCGAAGTCTCTCCACAATAGCAGTTTGGCAATCGTATTCTGAAGACGTGTCGTTTACTAAGGATCTTGGTCGTCAATGAGCAGACTGTTACTGAGGTATAGTACTATCTAATGACGCTCTCGAAACCTTGCTACGCTGTGGCGTCATAGCGTTGTTGCCGCTTAAAAATTCTAGATTTATCTGCGCCACACTGTACATGTATTTGTACTGCGTGCATATGAGTTTATTTTTATGAGGGCAAGTTCAATAATGCCTGTCACCGTGAAAATGACTAGCGGCCATTTTGTTAATTCTTCGTCTTTTTTTTATAATCCCTTTGAAAGTCTTTTAAAGTTCGCTTCTAAAAATTGGGCCCATAAAGCATCGCCCGAAGAGCTTCCTTTTTCGTGTCGAAGTGAAGAGGTCAGAACGTAGGGGCGTGGTTCAAGCATGAGAAGCGTTAGGAAGAGAACTGAGGCGTTACTGAGTGGGTAACTCGGATCTGACCTTTACGGGGTCACAGTTGTCCAACTAACACATGAAAAAAATCACAATGTCAATGAGTTAGGGGACAGCGTCGAATTCTGATTAAGAAGTCGACATTGTGAGTAAGACATTTATTTCTGGGAGAGTAAGTTGAAAGATAGAGAGAAAAAGAGAGTGAATGGCGAGAGAAGGAAAACGGTAACGATAAATCCTAGAACATAAAACGAGGGAACGGAGAAGGGGGAGGGGCAGATAAAAAAAGGAGCAAGAAGAAGAAAGGGAAAGGATGCGAAATGAACAAGAAGAAAGAAAGAAAGAAAGAAGAAGAAGAAGAAGAAGAAGAAATTATTCATCGCGTGACGAAGAAAAAGAAAGAGAAAAAAGAAAGAAGGAAAGAAAGAAAGAAAGTAATCAATGAAAGTCGGTGAAAGAAATCGATGATAAGAAGAGAATTAATTGAAACCAAATAAAGAAATCGAGAAGAAGAAGAAGAAGAAGAAGAAGAAGAAGAAGGAGAAGAAGAAGAAGAAGAAGAAATTATTCATCGCATGATGAAGAAAAAGAAGAAGAAGAAGAAGAAAGAAAGGAAGAAAGAAAGAAAGAAGAAGAAGAAGAAGAAATTATTCATCGCGTGATGAAGAAAAAGAAGGAGAAGAAAGAAAGAAGGAAAGAAAGAAAGAAAGAAAGAAAGAAATCAATGAAAGTCGGTAAAAGAAATCGATGAAAAGAACAGAATTAATTGAAACCAAATAAAGAAATCGAGAAGAAGAAGTAGAAGAAGAAGAAGAAGAAATTATTCATCGCATGATGAAGAAAAAGAAATTGTGGAAGAAGAAGAAGAAGAAGAAGAATAAAGAAAGAAAGAAAGAAAGAAAGAAAGTAATCAATGAAAGTCGGAAAACGAAATCGAGGAAAAGAAGAGAATTAATGGAAAATAAATAAAGAAATCGAGAAGAAGAAGAAGAAGAAGAAGAAGAAGAAGAAGAAGAAGAAGAAGAAGAAGAAATTGTTCATCGCTTGGTGAAGAAAAAGAAATTGTGGAAGAAGAAGAAGAAGAAGAAGAAGAAGAAGAAGAAGAAGAAGAAGAAGAAGAAAGTGAATTTGAGTAAAAGGAAGCTGCATTTTTTAGGTTCTTAAGAGAAATCGTATTTAGAGAGAGTGAGGAATAGAGTGTGTGAGAAAGAAAGAGATAGACGAAAAGAAACAGAGAAGGAGAAACCAAGGAAGGGAAGGGAAGGGGGCATAAAGAGATGGCGAGGAAGTAAAAGAGAAAGATGGGAAAATAGAGAGAGTGTGGTAGGAACAGAAAGAGGCATAAAGAGAGGCAATGTGACAGAAAGCAAGAAAGAGGAAGAAAGAGAGGATAGAGAAAGATAGGCAGAAGTCTAGATGCCTACCCATAAACTTCTTTTATGTGCCATCTCTTCCGAACATGGGTGATCATGGCTCTCCCCAATTTCATGTCTCTATATTTTTTTGATGCGATTTTGGTCGCCCTTAATATTCTTACAAAGCCCTATTTCGTCATCCATTTACACAAACTCGTCAGGCAAGTGTCAAATACACTAGGCCCCTCCCGTTATTTTGTGCCTCGGAGATATCAATTATCTTTTTCTGATTTTAGCATCTTGCACATTTACAAAATTTGTCATTCGTCCGGGCATTGAATATTGTCGCCATATCTGGTCAGGCGCTCCGGCTGTATATCTAGAGATTCTTGACAAAATACAAAGGAGGATCTGTGATTTAATCGATCCTGACCTGGCATCTCGACTTCAATCAGTTTCTAACCGACGTGACGTGGCTTCCTTCTGTCTTTTTTCTAAATATTTTCATGGCAACGTTTCTGATGAGATTTTTTTCCCTGATGCCACGACTCAATTGGCAATTGGGTCCCGCCCTTTTATTGTTGAAATAACTAAATCCAACCATCATTTTCTACTCCAACAATTTCTTTTCTTGCATTTCCCGCCTGTGGAACTCCCTTCCGTTTACTTGCTTCTCTGATAACTACAATCTTCAAAAATTTAAATGCAATGGCAATCACAATCTTCTGTCGTGGTGAACCTTATAATTTGTTTGGGTCCTTTCTTCACTCCACCTTATTCTCAGTCTTCCCTTCCACTTTCACTTTCACTTTCACTTTCACTCCTTGTATCCTCTGCGGTCTGATTTTCCTAAAACATCTCTGTTGATCACATGTTCTTTCCATAGTATTCTCAGCATCCTTATGTAGAACAAATCCAATGTTTCGTCTCCTCATTCACTGCTATATAAAAGGAGTGATATTACAGAATAGTCCAGCATTTCTTTCTTTGTAACAAACTTCACCAGTTTCATAATGCTTTACTTAACTTCTGGAAGGCCTCTTTCGTGATCCAAAGCGCCTTCGGATTTCAGTGCCACATTTTCCATTATTCTTGAGAACTCTAAGCTTTTAGTTATATTTCCACGGACTCTATCGGATAATAAGTGTCCTTTTTGTGATGTCAACGAACACTCGTTGCCACTTTTGTGATGTCAACGAATATTAGTTGTCACTTTTGTAATACTCGTTGTTATTCATCGAGTAGCCATTTTTGTTATCTTTTACAAATTCTTTCCACAGTTTTTACATATCGAATGCAGTAAAAAAATTGCATATTTTGCCTGTGATGATTCATAATTAGAATTCTGGTTTGAATATATTTCCCATTCAATGTATCTGTTGCCAAAAATATCAACTTTATTTGGATCATTCTTGAAAATTTTGAAATCAGTTTGTTTGCAAAAGTCTGCGGAAATTAGATTTTTCTGTACATTTGTTTCAGACTATCTTTAAAACTAAATGCTCCAAAATTGATAAATGCCATCAATCTAATTCTTGATGTCAATACTTATTCTGTCCAGCTTCACATCGTGTGCATTGTTTATTTTCTAAAAAGAGAGCAAAATCAACCTTCCCTATTGTACCCTATCTAATCACCGCTTAGAAAATATGCATATCCATCATAAGCCAAAATATTTTATAAGTATAATATGATTTAGTCATGTGTGAGTGTTAGACAGAATGTTTCAAATTTCATGGTTCAATTAGATTGAAACAAATCATAAATACATTACTTTACCAAACAACAAGTGTAAGAAAAAAAATAATCTAATCAAATAGGGAAGAGATGGGTGCCGGGAATTCATGAAATAAAATGGGTCTTTGGAAAGCTTAATTATAAATAGGAGGAATGATTGTCAGCTTATTGAAAGCGAACAAACTAATCAGGTCCATCACAACCCTTCCCTAAAGTAAGTGGCCCAAATATAGGCAATATCATGGATTGGCATGAAAGGCTCTGTCTTACGAAGAGACCAAGAAAGAGAAAAAAAAAAAGGGGGGGGGGGCAGAATGACACTGCATTAAAAAAAAAGAAAAAAAAAGGCTATTGTAAATTATCACATGATGGATAGTTGATATTGTTGTCAGGTCATTGGGGGTGACGGCCACGGGACACTCAGGCCAGGACATGAGTTTGGTAAGACGAGGATTGAAGGAGAAATTGTCGACTAATAACAAGGAAAAGCGACGTCTTTTGTCACGCTTCGCGTTTCCAGCCGGAAAGAATACAACAGTGAATCTCGATGAAGATGTCCGTTCGGGGCGGGGACGTGTTGGGTAGTGAGCGGACCGGGTGTATTTTGAGGGCAATTGTCAAAAAAGGGTAGAGAGTGATAAAGAAATGAAATAGAATGATGCAAAAATGAAAGAGAGAGAGAGAGAGAGAGAGAGAGAGAGAGAGAGAGAGAGAGAGAGGGGGGTGAACCGGAGTAAAAGCCGTACAT